AGAAACTGAGATAAACACTAGAATAGTGAATGCAGTCCGAATATACCATGCAATTAAGAGCACATTCCCATTGAAAAAAGAAGTATCTCAAAAAGCCAAGATAATCATTTATAACACAGTTTTTGTACCTATCTTAACATTTTGATGTGATGAAGAAGCCCTGCTGAGATGGTACGGCCACATGGTTAGTATGGATAAAGGAAGACCAGTGAAACAAGTTTGGGATGCGAGAAGAAACCTAAAAAGAACGAGTGGTAGGCCCATGAAAACCTGAGACGATGAAATTGCCTATGCAAGAGAGGAGTCACCAAAGAGCAAGCGAAGAACATAAGAAGAAAAAAGAACAATTAAAGGAAGTTTGTATACGAAAGAGACTATACACCCCACACCTTAGGGTAGAAGGGTTATCAAAAGGTTATCTTATAAATGTATGCGAAGAGATACAGCAGCTTGTCAACCCGTTACAAATATGTTAGCTGTTAAAAAAATTAAGATTATACCATGCTGTTTCAAACCAAAAAACTGTACAGTACACAATGCTAACAATTCATTGGTAACAAATATAGACGAAGTAGTACACGTATTGCGTAATTACTGTGATCAACTATATGCGAGCGATACTGCCTATAAAATACACATCTATGAAATCGATTACGAAAAAGAACCACATATTATATTGGAAGAATATGAAGCTGGTATAAAGAAAATAGCACAACTTAAATTTTTTAAATGACTTACTAACTGGACAACCTCCGTAAGTGTTCCTTTGCATAAAAAAGTCAAAAATGCTTAAAATATCATGAGTTCAACGCATCTCAAACATAGAAGTCTCAAACAGAGTAGATAAAGGCGAAGGAGACGTAAATAATGAGAGGTAGCAGATACTGGAGATACTGAAAGAAATATTCATGGCTCCAAAACCTTGGTCAATGGACTGGCTTATCAGCAGATGAATTGTTACATGCCGCGCAAGATCGAGAACAATATCGGCAGATAGTTATGGAAACTATCCACGCCTAATTTGGGCACGGTACTCAAAGAGGAAGATAAAAAGGGTTCCATCACAGGACGCAACAACTACAGATTAATCGTAATAGCACCAGATTATTGAGGTCTTGTTCATATTAATCTTTAGTGCGACGTCCAAGGAAGCATGTTATAATTTTTCAAACCTTATTATTGCATTAACCATACGATCGGCTATAAGGACGATGTCATCTGCAAACCTTAAATGACTGAGATTCTCTCCATTTATGTTGATACCATGCTCGTTGTATACAGAATTTATTTGTTTTTTGTTCAGATATGGTTTGCTGTATTCTGCAGACTTCTCTATCAGGTTCTTTATTACTAGTAAGTAGTAGTTACTGCTGTATCCCGATCTAAATCCAGCTTGTTCTCTAGGCTGATAGAAGTCTAATTTAGCGTCCAGTCTTTTTTTGATAATTTTTGTAAAAAGCTTATATATGTGTGAAAGAAAACTGATAGGACGGTAGTTTTTTTAGATATGAGTTGAGAAGGACTTTCTTCTTGGTAGATGCATTTGGTAAAAATCCTGGCTAAAGCCTGGATAATTTTATTTCCACCTAGTTTGATCGCTTCGATCACTGCTCCGTATTTGTTATTTTTTATTTTTAAAAGGGCCGTTTTCATTTCGTATGGAGTTATTTCTGGACTTAATTCTGATCTCTAGTTTGTGATTTTGGACAAGGGCTGATCTTGCCTTTCGTCGGTGCTCCCATATATTTCGTGAAATGGATTCGACAACCTCAAGAATTTTGGTTCTATCAGTAGTAATGTTTCCATCTTTGTTTATTATTTTGTATATATTTTTGTTGCCTATATTGTTCGTATTTCGCCTCAAAACTTTTAAAGTTTTGTTTTCTTGAATTATTTTAGTTATTTGTCTTGTATTGTTTTTTCTTACATAATGTAATACAAATATAATATTTGTATTATTTAGCCATACGGCTCACACTCTCACTACAGGGAAAATTCACTCATCCTAAATAGGATATCAACAGGATTAAGCTCTGATGGGACTCTTTCCGTGTTATAGAGTCCTAGGTGACTTGAAACGTCGGTCCAATATATGTGTTCAATATATAGAGCTCATCACCTTGCAGTATTAGGTTAATTGATAAAATAACCATACCAGAGGAGCGAATATAATATATTTGTATTACATTTTCCAGATTTAGCCATACGGCTCACATTCCCACTACAGGCAAAATTCACTCATCCTAGATAGAGTATCAAAAGGATTAAGTTCTAGTGGGATTCTTTCCGTGTTATAGAGTCCTAGGTGACCAGATACATCTTCCAACAATTTTCGAATGCATCTGGACATCGAGAGTGGCACAGCTTTTGCATTGCATGGTCTTATATAGATGTTCATTTAGACCTAGCTTTTTCTAGGAGGTACTTCGGAATTACTCCAGTAGTAGAAAGAATAATAGGTATCGTCTGGATACTTTCCAGTCTGCATTGTCTCCATATTTGTATTTCCAGCTCTCTGCACTCAGCGATCTTTTCGTTGTTTTAAAACGCATATTATTGTTGTTAGGTATTGCCACATCTATTAGTGTTATTTATCTCGTTAGTTTATTAACTAGTAGGAGATTTGGTCTATTATATGCTACTGATTTATCTGTGAGCACAGTGCGATCCCAGTGTAGTTCGTGCTAGATTTGTATATCTGGAGATTTAACTGTCAAAATTGAATTCAATAAAATTTTCAGGCTACAAACTTTCATACCAATCGAAAATATTGCCGGCAAAATTTTCTCTCTTACGATATTAGATACGATACCAGGTCGTAAACATGAAGACTGCTTGTCTCTCTTGGCCCATTGTTAGGACCTTGTACCTCAGGTAAACCATTGTTACCTGAAACCGGACCTTATATACTATTATCGGTTAACCCAGGATGTTTATAGTCGATACTAATTGACGTCAACCATTTACTGCTAAACAAGCTTTCGCTCCATAATAACGTATGTAAGTAAGAGGTGAACACTAAACCAACTTGAAGCAACAAGATTATTAGTCTTTCAACTTTTCATTAAACTTTTTGTTTTAGTTAATCTAGCTAATATGGATTCCATTAGATTTATAAAATAAAATTTGCAAATTATATTATTTTAGTTTATCGTACAAAATGGGTTAGTTACTGTTTTAATAAAGTAATCAGTTGGTTTGTATTATTTAAGAAAATACTTCAACTTCTCCTATCTAATATATATATATATATATATATATATATATATATATATATATATATATATATATATATATATATTGTTGTACTTTTGAATGTCCATAAGCAATAAAAAACCGATATACAAATTTTATTACTTAAATAAAAATTAAAATTATTGATATTTCATAAAGACACGGGCATATAAATTTTCAAACATCCTGTATAAGACAAAATATGTATTTTAAGTTGTTCGAAGAATTGTTCATTAGGCCTCAGAGACAAGACTTTCAAATATTATCTCCCCGAAAGATTATATCGGTAAAAGTTTATTAACAAAAGACATTGAATTGAGAAACAGGTATCGTTTGTAGCTATTAGTAAGAAATATTTGTAAAGCAGATAAAGAAAGATTAGTTAGAATAATTAAAGAATGTTGTTTTCTGGAATTACCCGAATGGCGTTTTATAAATAGAGTTGGTTGGTAACGATATACGTCACAGAGGTGGATGATTTTTATTGGTCAATTTTTGAATGCAAGGAGGTGGTGGTTTTGGCTATGAGATAGGAGAGAGGAAAAAAGTTAGTTAGTCAGTTTTCGTCGTCCAAGAAGGAAGGAGCTTTGTGATTTGTGTTTGTTTGAAGTCCCGAAGACGTAATTTACCGGGTGTGTTTCTTTGCTGTGTAAAAGCTGATCAGTGTGAGGAACGGGGTACAGAGAGATAGAAAAACCAAAGGGTATAAGAATATTAATATCAGACGAAGCCGGAAACATTTGGAGTTATAAACAGGCGCGGAGATTGGCTCAAAAGGAGGCTGCATAGAATAACACGAGTTGTTGGGTTGCAGATACAAGGACAGATAGGAGAAAGGTGTACGTCATCTGGACCACAATAGGAGCAGAAGCAGAGAAAGGTTTTTTTTTATTTGGCGTGGCCATAGAATTGCAACGGCAGAGAAAGAAAGGTCAGTTCAATTTTTATTAGAGCAGGAGTGTGGTTTTCATTTATTAATTAAATAAATTGAATAAATAATAGAGACAGTTAATTTTGCGATCATTTAAAAAAAAATTATAAAAGGAGCTTAGTTATAACACATATTAAAAATCAATGTAAAATAACATTTGGGTCCATGATAGAAAACAACTTCTCATATATTTAAAGTTAGTATATTGCAAATATTACAGGATTGATTGTTATATAAAATTTCATTAAAATAAAGGACATCTCACATATAGTTCAGTTGAAATTCTATGTATTTTATTCAGGTCATATTACCTATCCCAATTAGGAAGCCAATTGGAAAATATTTTGAATCCACGATCAAAGGTAAATAGTACAAGTTAAATAGCCTGAGATTGTAATTAATTAATGCTGATTTATTGTGATTAATTGGAGATTAGATCATTTAATAAATATAGACAGGATTTCTTCTAAATAAGCAATATAATACAATTTAAATAGCATAACATATATATATATATATATATATATATATATATATATATATATATATATATATATATATATATATATATATATATATATATATATATATATATGTAAAGAATACCTAAAAAGAATAGATAGTTTCCAGATATTTCGTTAAACAGAAACACTGCAATATCTAATCTCCAACTGATTAAATAAAACCACGATAAAAACGGATTCAATTGTAATTGGCCACTATGGAAATGTTTTTGGACAATATAAGATTTTGTATTTAGAAGAACCTCAATACCAGTATGACTAACTGGAAATTTTGCTTCATTTAACATATATATAATAAAGGCAAAACTTACGCGAACATTCGTCCGACAAGACCCATTCCATATTGCCTTCGATCGGAGTTGTCTAATGCTCTCTCTAACGTACTGGTTGTGATCCGAGATCTCCCAATGCTAGGTCTGTTTTCTCCGTGCCTTAAAACTACGTCGTCATGATCGTGTTCTATTCTCCATCCAGAGGCACTTGGCGGTTCTGCATACCTTACTCTTTCACTTCTTTCCCTGAAAACAAATAATGTGATGGATGAAAATGCTTAGAATATTTATTTATTTCCGCATTGTTCTACGTTCAAAAAATTTTAGTATACTTATCTTATCTCTAATTTCTCAAATCAAAAAAACGAATACTAAAGAATTTTATGATATTTTGAATATAGGTACTAAGAGCTGCATGTGATGAGGGATGTTTGGGACGTAAAAATGTCGTAACATCATCATTGTAAATATTAATATTTTATACCACCGACAATAGCCTAGTATTATGTAAAATAAGAGTTATCCTGAAATACTTTACATAAAGAGAGTGGCGACAATACAAACAAAAATCAAAGTCGAAGGACTAAATACGAAATCCACGGAATACTTATACAAAAAAAGAATATCAGAGAAGATCGCTGGGAATGAAATATTCGAACACGATAACATCGAGGAAAGCTGGGAAAAACTCAAAAATAACATAACACAGCAACACAGCAACATAATCACTTGGAGAGAGGGAAGTAATGGACACCAGCATATCAAAAAAGAAAACACCATGATTTAGAGAAGAAGTAAAGATAAAATGCGAAGAAAAAAAGAAAGCCTTTTTACAGTACAGAACACAACAAACACAACAGGCATATAACCACTATAAACGAATCAGAAATGAAACGAATACTTTAGTTAGAAAAATAAAAAGAGAACACTGACAGAGCTTCTCAGAACAGATGGAAAACGACTTCTACGGAACACAAAAAGAAATAGGAGAATGATCACATGACAAAGTATAAACCATCTAATAAACACGAAATACATTCAGAACTAAATATGGGTAGACTACTTTCGATCCATATTTGCTAAAGGTGACGATTATGAACCACCAACACCAGAGGCGACGACAAACTATGGAATAAATATTAAGGAGAAAGAGCTTCAGAAAGCATTAACGAAATTAAAGAATAGAAAATTACCAAAAGAGGACAGAATACCGAACAAACTCCTAAAGTACGGAGGACCAGATCTGACCAAACAATTCTTAAAATGAATCCAAAAAATAATAGAACAAAACAGAATTCCTCAAGAATGGAGACCAAGCATCCTAATACCTCCCTTCAAAAAGGGAAGCCAATCTAACCCGGAAAATTACAGAGGAATTAATTTATTAAACTCAACACTAAAATTAACAACAAAAGTGATAACAGATAAACTGAACAAAATTATAACACTAGCAGAAGAACAACAAGTCAGCAAGATCATGCACCGACGCTATATTTATAACGAGGTAAGTGCAAGAGAAATCATTAGAATACAACAAAAAGGCATATCTATGTTTCGTGGACCTTAAGAAGGCATTTGACCGGGTCAAATTAAAGGAAGTTATCCACTTATTGTACGCAAGAGAGATACCTCTAGGAACAATCAAAACGATCGAAAATATTTACCAAAACCACACAATAAAAGTAGAAGTGGAAGAAGAACTAACCGACCCTATTGAAGCTGGCAATGAGATAAGACAGGTAGATTCCCTGAGTCCTCTATTGTTCAACTTGATGATGGATAAAATAATAAAAAAAGTAACAACTAAAAAAAGGATACCAAATGCAAGAAACACAACTTAAAATAATCTCCTATGCAGACGATGAAAAACTACTCTCTGAAAGTAAAAACGTGAAGACGAATAGAGCAAACAGAGCCGGCCAAGCAGGCTGCCTGAATGAAACAATATGGAGAAATGAAAATATTGGGAAAGAAATAAAAGGCAGAATTTACAAAATAGTCATAAAACCAATAATGACAAACGTGGCAGAAACACGACCTGACACAGAGAGGACAAAAAGAATGTTAGAAACAGCAGAGATGAAAACACTTAGAAAAATTGATGGCAAGACACTATGTGACAGAGCTAGATATACAGATATACGCTGTAGATACAAGGTGAAGAATATCAAGACCTGGGTAAGAAATAAAAGAGTAGAATAAAACGATCATATAAGACTAGTTACAACAAATAGAGTAGTTAGTAAAGACGGCAAGAGACGGCTCCTTAATAGAAAGACGATCAGTAGGAAGACCACAAAAACGATAGAACAATTTACTGGAGGCACATCGAAAAACAGACAGAGACCTGTCAACATAAAAAGAAGGAGAAGAAGAATATTTTAATGAGGTATATGGTGCAAATGTTTTGTGATATGAATTTTATTTGGAACATTTATAGTAGTCCGAAAAAATTATCTCAAATAGAAGACGAGAAAAAACCATTTTATAGATCTATCGAAAAATAAAACAAATAATTAGAGCAATAAAAAATGGCGTGGGTTAGTATATATTATATGTATACGTTATATATAATAATATATCCATAACCTAACTTTTGAACAATATTATAATATGTCAACAAACTACCTTTATCTTAGCAATGATAAAATAGTTATATACCGGCATTTATAATATATAAAATTGCTACATTGCTAATTGGTAAATATAAATGCCACAACCTACTTTAATTACGATTTAACTAGATGACAGCAGAATTTGAAACGTCGATCCTCATACAAAACTAGGACTTCTCTTAATAAAGCTTAAAGTCTGCTTATCGTGTGATGAAAAAAATATGGATGCTATGTTTTACGATTACACGATCGTCATGGGACTTTCTTTGAGACTAAGGAATACATAGGAATAAAATCTAGTATAGTCAAGCATCACAAGTTGATAAGCAAGGTTATAAAAGGTTTTATAGTCTAACCCAAAAACCCGTAGTTATTTAAATTGCAATAGTGAGACCAATCAGTACTTGGGGGCAGTACCCTGATAAAGTAGAGCTAGTCTAAGGAAGTAACATTTCAATCGACCGATTCATCGATACACTAAGCTCTGCTTGGAATTTTTCATATATGAAATTTCATACTTGAGCCACCAGACTAACACCAATTTAGTTGTTTAATTGATTCCGTTTTTAAATACATTTTAGTAGCTGATCATTCAGAAGAAATGAGGATCTGTAGAGGAGTTAGACAGGGATGTGTGTTATCACCACTTTTGTTTAACTTATATTCTGAAGAAATTTTCCAAAACACGCTCAATAATATCGAAGCGGGAGTCACCGTTAACGGAAAATTAATTAATAATTTAAGATATGCAGACGACACTGTGATCATAGCAACGAGTATAGAGGATCTACAACATCTTATCGAAAGCTTGAGTATAAATAGTGCTGAGATGGGAATTACTATAAACGCTAAAAAAACGAAGTACATGCTGATTACAAAAAGGCCACAAAATATACATCACCTATTGACAATAAATGGTAACGTGATAGAACAAGTAGAAAAATATTAGTATTTGGGAACTTTGATCAATGAAACCAATGATCATACTGTAGAAATAAACAGGCGAATAGAGATTGCCAGATCAGCATTTATACGAATGAAGCCACTCCTAACGTGCAAAAATCTAAATTTGGATATCAGACTACGTACCATTCGCTGTTATATATTTTCAATATTATTATATGGAGCTGAGACTTGGACATTAAAAAAATGTAATTTAAAAAGAATCGAGGCCTTCGAACTCTGGTTATACCGCAGAGTATTGAAAATATCATGGACTGATAGAATTACAAATAAAGAAGTACTGGAGAGGGTTGGTAAAGAAACAGAACTAATCACCACTATACAAACCAGAAAACTGGAATACCAAGGCCACGTGATGAGGGGACCAAAATATGAAATTTTGAAATTGATAATACAGGGAAAGATTCAAGGAAGAAGATCTGTTGGCCGAAGGCAGAACTCATGGTTAAAGAATCTACGTGATTGGTACCAATGCAGATCGATTGATTTGTTTAGAGCAGCAAGTTCTAAAATAAAAATAGCCGTTATGATTGCCAACCTCCGTAGGGAGACGGCACTCTAAGAAGAAGCTGATTCGGTATTTATATAAACTCATACTAATCCGTATCCTTTCCATCCATAATAAAGCAGTTAATAAATTATTAAGTAAAATTGTATTGGAGATTTGGTTATCAGGTCATCAGTTATCAGGTTAAGTTATTACCTATTTTAGACGTTAGTTTTTGCTCCTTTCTTTCGCATAGCAAAAGCCTTATTTTTAAAAATATGCCTCGTTTAATATTATTAGTACCACACTGATGATCAGAGACTGTTGGGGTCTTTTTCTTCTTTGGTTACTCAGCTTTGTTTATAATAGCTTCCCTTGAGGTTTTGCTTGTGGCAGGTGATTTTTTTTGTAATTTTTTAGCCACTATTTTGGGATTCAAATTTGACCAGTACTGGCAACAGTACTAGCCACACGTCATCACACAAGTGATCCAGATGCAGTAGTAGCTGCCCACTTCGGCACCGTAACCACTACTGGCCGCAGAATATTTTCCAGAGAAACCAGTAACCTTTCTGGAGGACTGGGGTACTTCGAGGGAAAAGAATTAGGCTAAGTACTATCTTTATTTATTCTATACCGGTTATCAGCAAGCTTTGGCTTGTAGCTTTGACATAATTTTTTTCCTTTAAAAATATATTTATACATTATTATTTCATGTATCTTTCTGGGATGGGCATGTAAGAAAGATAAACAGGGAACTAACCCAAGGCTGAGCAGAAGAATATCATCCTGATGGGTAGAACGATGTATATTTCTTTTAACGTTAGATATGTTCAGAGAGAGGGGTTTACACCCCTCGTTCTTATCAGTATGATGTTTTTAACGACCCTGGTTTCTACATACGCTAGTGAAGAACATAAAAGCAAATTGCATACATAGGATAAACGATGAAATAATCATTAAAACCTATTTTCGATTCAACTTAAAAAGTCAGTGTTGGAGCATGACCGTAAAAGAGATTCTATTGAAGTATATCTTTAAGAATGAATTTCGTAAGAAGTTAAGTTGCAAAAATGGAATAAGGACAGATTTTTTTCCTTATATTAAACTTCTGCAATTTGTTTTGATCCTTTATAGGAATATTGTATTATATTTCTTATAAAGAATTCATAAGTTTTATT